AAGTGCTGTATCAATGCTAGGTGGAAATTCAGGGTATAGTGTAGGTAATGCAATTAAAGGAGTAGTAAGATTTGCGGAAACTTCAGAAGGTTGTATCATAGATGGTACAATAGATGGTTTATCACCGGGTGAGCATGGTATACACATACATGAATGTGGCGATATATCTAATGGCTGTGACAGGTAAATCAAATTGCGAAAGTAAATATTTAAATTGATACCTTAAAAAAATTTCATTTTTATTACAGCGTAGGTGGACATTTTAATCCAAATAATTCACCACATGGTAGTCCGGAAGACGATCTATCTAATCGAGTAAATATAAACAGATGCTCTTACGTATACACATATATTTTTTAGCTAAATGTTTTAATATTATTATTATTGTTTGCAATTACAGCATGTTGGTGATCTTGGTAATATCCTAACAGATACTACTGGCAGAGCTACTTTCCGAAAAATAGATAAGTTCCTTAAAATATCCGATATTATTGGTAGATCTCTCATTGTCACTAAAAATCCAGATGATTTTGGAAAAGGTGACAATCCAGAATCTAAAATAAATGGAAATAGTGGATCCAGGTATAGGACCGATAACTAGCACGTCAAAGTTTAATGATTGATTATTTTACATTAAATTTTTTTTCATTTTGCATAGACTTGCATGTGGCATAATAGCCAGATCATCTGGATTATTTCAAAATACAAAGAAGATTTGTGCATGTGATGGCCTTACTATATGGGATGAGAGAGATCGAGCACTTAAACATGGTATAAAAAGTTATACAGAATTAAATAAAAAAATATGCTCGTTAATTTAAATTTTTTTAATTTAGCTATTTTACATATAAAATTGTATGTTGCTTATTATTAATCTTCACATTTTTTTTCATTAACAATTGATGAAAAAAGATGAAAAGAAAGAGGAAAAAAAAGATTTTTCTTAATTTTTTTTTTCATTTAAATATATTAATACATACGGATATTAAAACTGTAGCAATTATACAAATAATTTTATGATTTATATAGAATTTGATTGTATATAGTAACTTATGTATTCTTTTTTCAGCAAATTTGTAACTAACATGACACATAATGTGATATAGGTTTTTAACAAAATACATTCCAAATCAAAATCTTATAAACAACAGAAACAAATATATAAAAATGAAATATATTTTTAAATCAAATAAATTATATTTATAAATTTCTTTATGTATAGCTGTATTAAATTAATAGGTAAATATATAGATAATTTTATTTGTTCTTCGACGGAGTTACAAAGGCTTTCACATTCTGACACTTTTTAATAAAATACAATATAAATATTGCCTGATATACTGATTACATAAATAAAGTGCGATGTCTCATAGATATGAGAATACAAAAATAGAACATGAATCATAAAACATGAAATATATAAACTGAATATAGTCACAATATATAACTAGTAGATGGGCAATAAAACGCAGAGCGTTTTATTCGTGCAAGTCATATTAAATATGACAAGAACATACATAGATATAATTAACAGACGAGTTATAATTAATCAGACTTGTATCATATTAGACTGGTATTCATAATCCATTCTTATACTTAAGATTGTTTTAAATAAGCTTATACAGTTATCTTATTAATTGAATCTTATTAAATGTAATCTTAAGATAATCTTATATATAAAAGCTAATGGCTGATATTCATAATCGAATCTTACATTTAAGACTGCCTGTTATTTTAAGAGGTTATTAACTAATCACAGAGCTGTATTAGCATTTTAAGACATTAAGACAATCTTCATCAAAATAAGAATTATGAATATCGATTGTGCACTTTTTGTATCTGAAGCAAGATGAACATAGAATGTAAACGTTAGAAAAAGGAAGAATGAAAAACGGTGTTTTCGATTGCAATGAATTTCAAAATTCATTGCAATCGAAAACACTATATGATTTATGTAAAATATAATACCTTTAAATAATAATAAAACAATACTTTTAATTAAAATAATTAAGAAATTAAGTTAAGAATGATCAATTTTAAGTTTGCAGGTGTTGGTGATTCTTAAATTTAATAAATCAATAAAATTAATCAAGATGGTAAAATCGGCTCTATATGACTTAAATTTTAACATCGTTTTAACTTATCTTAGATTAGCGCCTTTATTTAGATTATGATATATCGCCCGCAATATATAGATGTAGAACTAAAGGAACGAATATTAAGGAGTATATGTCACTTAATATTAGAATAGTGTAGGCGGGGGCGTGGTCGTAGCAAACGCAATTATTAAAAATTCACACGTCAACGATCGATCGATCCTCTCAAAGAAACAAGAGAGAAAGCGGGGAAAGAAACAACAAGAGAAGTGGGAATTTAAGTGAGCCCACGCGCGTGAGACGTCATCAGTCATAGTCGGCTGCGCTTTAAAAAAAAAAAAAAAAAAAAAACGAACATTACATTAATGCGCTTAACTGTCCATTAAACTGAACACTACGGAGAGCGACAAAATTTCATCGTCGGCGTGAATAAAAAAAAAAGATAATCGGCGACAAGACAAAGGGCTCTAACATGACGGAAGACTCAATCTCTTCTTTCTACCACGTGATCGCATCACGTTAATCATTGTCGCAAACACAATTTAGCGCAGTCATTAAACAACTTGG